TCGACTCGTGTTTGGTCTGTGCTTGCGTAAGCCTCATCCACATTATTCGTTCTGATGCTTAACGGCTGTCTTCCTCAGAATAGAAAGCGCAGTCAATGTATTGGGGGCGACTTCCAGTCTAGGTACAGTGTGATAACGACGGTGCGTTCTATCCGTGGGAGAGGGTGGGAAAGATCCTGTGGGTGAACATCACTGCGACAGAGTAGATCGTAGAGGACGCAAATATTCGCCTTCGGGTAAATTTATCCCAACGGATAAAATTTTCAATCCGTTCCGGATATAACTTTATCGAAGTTTATCCATTTTCATACAGGCCCTTTTCGTTTCTTCTCCTTCTTCTTCTTCTTCGTCATCATTATCATCTTCTTCTTCTTCTTCTTAAGCTTGCCCGACATTATCACGATGATGATCGGCTCCTGCTCTCCTCCCCTCGCGTCCTTCCTCCTCCCCTACCCCTCTCCTCCTGCTCCATTCCTTTCTTTCTCCCTCATCATCGACTTCGTAGGTGTTGTCACTTGTTCACTCTCTCCCTCCCTCTCTTTCGCTCTTTGTCTCTCTCTCTCTCTCTCTCTCTCTCTCTCTCTCTCTCTCTCTTTCTCTCTCTTTGTTTCGCTTTCTTTCTCTCTCTGTCTGTTTCTTTCTCTCTCTCTGTCTGTTTCTTTCTCTCTCTCTCTCTCTCTCTTTCCTCTTTTTCCTCTCTCCCTCTTTCTCCCCCCGCTAGGTTATATATGTGGTGGAACAAACTGTGCAAGGGAGGGAAACACATGTCCATTTACGGACACCCGTGTGTGTGTGTGTGTGTGTGTGTGTGTGTGTGTGTGTGTGTGTGTGAGAGAGAGAGAGAGAGAGAGAGAGAGAGAGAGAGAGAGAGAGAGAGNGAGAGAGAGAGAGAGAGAGAGAGAGAGAGAGAGAGAGAGAGAGAGAGAGAGAGAGAGAGAGAGAGAGAGAGGACAGCTACTGCTGTGGAAGTAAGCAACATGCAATTAATGTCCACACAATGGCAACGGGTGTGTGCACCAACCTTGTAACGAATGAACAGAGTGCTGCACACACACACACACACACACACACACACACACACACACACACACACACACACAGAGAGAGAGAGAGAGAGAGAGAGAGAGAGAGAGAGTAACACAGCAATAGTGGAACTTAGAGAGATGACATCCAGAATGCGATGCTTCTCCGTCAGAATGCCGATGGGTACCGCATTCTAGTACCCATCGGCATTCTGGTACCGTCACATGGGTACCAGAATGGGATGGTTCTCATTCTGGTACCAGAATGGGTACTCCATCTCATTCTAGTACCCACCTTACAGATCCCATGTCGTCCCAGAGCTCGTACCTATCTCCTGGTTCTCTGCATGAGATGGCACCAGAATGGCTAACACCCCGTTCTGGTACCCATCCCATACTGTTACCAGAATTCCCTACTGGTACCAGAATTCCCTACTGGTACCAGAATTCCAGTGAGTACCATAATTCCAGTGAGTACCAGAATTCCAGTGAGTACCAGAATTCCATACTGGTACCAGAATTCCAGTGAGTACCAGAATTCCAGTGAGTACGAGAATTCCAGTGAGTAGCAGAATGCCGATGGGTACTAGAACGAGGACAATTGGTTAACGGAGGCCTGACTTTTCAGAAATTTGTCGTGCTATTTATAGGATAACCCAAAGGCCTTTTTAATCACCCTTGCCGCCTAGACATAGAGTGGACACCATATTAGCTAACAGCAAAAATTTATTGACGATATATGTAAATATAAAGTAAAAAAATTCAAGGCAAACGTGCACTTTCATGCAAAATTCGCCAAAATTTCAGAAAATCTCAGAAAATTTCAGAAATTTCAGAGATTTCAGCAGAGGAATTTTCAACAGTTCAAAATTCACCAAGTTTGACACACAGCAACCTGGACGTAAAACGAAAACAGGCAATTTTTTTTTCTTTTTCTTTCAAAAATAAAAAAAAATTGGCCGGGAGCTGAAAGTGGGGATGCCCGTTAACCACTTGTGATCACATCCATGTTGCTCAGTTACTTTCACACCACCAGCTTCCCCTCCCCCCCCCCTCTCTCTCTCTCTTTCTTTCTGTCCCTCTTTTTTCTCTCTCTGTCTCTCTTTCCCTCTTTCTCTCTCTCTCTCTCTCCCTCTCCCTCTTTCTCTCCCTCTTTCTCTCCCTCTTTTTCTCTCTTTCTCTTTCTCTCTCCCTCTTTCTCTCTCTCTCTCTCTCTCTCTCTCTCTCTGCCTTGTGGTGTCCTACCGCTATCTTGTCTTGTAGAATCCTACGGGTAATGGAAATTGGAAAAGAGAAACGTTTACATATCCCCTCCTTCCTCCCTTACTGGGATCCCAACTTCCTATTCATGCTTTCAGCATTACCTGCCACCCGCCCTCCCTCCCTCTCTCTCTCTCCTCCCACTGCCCCTCTTGTCCGAGCCCTGGGGTGGCTGATAGAATCACTTTTGCAGATGGAGTCAGCTTGGTTAGAGCCTATGGTTTACTTGGTCTTGTCGGAGACCTCGGGGGGTGGGAACAGAAATGCACACGTTATAGTATTTCTTTTCTTCTTCTTAAACCACCGGTAGATCTGGAGAATCACGAAAGAGCCTCTCCACCTTAACCCCGATTGCGGTTAAGCATCAGCGACTGCCACTTTAACCCCGGTTGCGGTTAAGCATCCACGACTGCCACCTTAACCCTGGTTGCTGTTAAGCATCAATAACTGCCCGCCCTGCCCTATATAGATGGATTGATGGACATCAACAACTGCCCACCATATATAGATGGATTGATGGATGAATGGATTGATGGTCGGATGGATGGATGGACACATGGTTATCAAGACCGTACATCTTGGCCATGCAGCCAAGAATCGTCACCCGAATACAACGCACCCTGCTGACGAATGTGCATATCGTATCTCTCCAATCCGATGCAGTCATCGCCTTGTGGCACAAGGCGCCTTCGAGAATCCACTGAGGAGCTAAGGTTTCTTGATGGCTCTTGATGAGGGTGCGTTCTTTTCTAGGGAAGACGGTAGTAATTAACCCGGGAAATGTACACAGGTGTATCTTCCCGATCCGGTACGGTCTTGATGAGGGTGCGTCGTATGATCAGTTCTTCTGGTATTGTTTTTTTTTTCAGAGTTTTGTGCTATTTGAGCAGAGGATTTGTCTGTGACAAAATGAAAATATGCGCCCTGCGCTTCGCCGAATTTCCAATTATGATTTTGATTGATTGATTGGTTGGTTGGTTGATCGATTGATTGATTGGTTGGTTGATTGATCGATTGATTGGTTGGTTGGTTGATCGATTGATTGATTGATTGATTGGTGGTGCTGTTGTGGTTCTGCCAGATGGTGTCAGATGCTCTGCGACATGCTGTTGAATGAAGAAGATGCTGTTTCATTCCTGAATCGAAGAATGCTACAGTCATCACCTGAATAGAACGGCCGGTTGTTATATCTGTACTTGGGGCGAAGCTCAGTCTAGATGCAGTTATAATGACTGGGTGTTCTATTTGGGGGAAAGACGGTGGTGGTCACCACCATTTTTCCTGTAATCGAACAATCCTAACGATAGTCTCAGCGTCGTTATGAGTTAACCTAGCCTATTGTGTGGTTTAGGGTTTAGGGTAATGTTCGTGGTGTGTGTGCTGAATGAAGGTGGTGTTTCTTTTTTGGTCCATCAATTGCTAACCGGGGTTAACAGGGGTTAACATCTTGCTCAGGTTTTGCGGTATAGATCGATGCTATTTGAGACTGGATGGATGTTTGCAGAGAAGCACCAGTACGTGCCAGCTATCAGCCGCGGCCGCCTTTCGGAGGCTGCGCACAGGTGATTTATTTTATATCTACGGCACGGGAGCCTTCTCCGGAATCTTAGGAGAGGCTCAATCAGGGTCTCAACTTGGCTGGGGCCCTGTACTGGTGTGCTTTAAAGCACCAGTACATGGGCCCAGCCAACTTGAGAATCATGATCGAGCCTTGACAAAAAAGGGCGGAGGATCGGGGCAGCGGTGCCAGCCAAAACTAAAACAAAAACGCTGTGCTGGCGTTTCAGCAAAGCTTGGGCCCTAGTGGGAATCCGCATCGTACAGAACAGGCACGGATGTAGGGTGTCGCCACACCCACGCTCGAAATGTGCAAAATTGGAATGACCTTCCCCCTAGAACATGGCCAGATGCACCCGCTATATTTTAATTTGTCTTTTTCACATTTTGAGAGTGGTGTGGCAAGGCCCGTAGTCGGGCGCCCTCAAGCGGACATGCTGGCTGCTCCATTGAGCTGTTTGGATCAGCATAAACATTATTTTGACAAAATTGGCAATTTGGGTGGGTGGGTGGGTGGGTGAGCGGGTGTCGCATTTCGTGGAGGTGCCACTCCTTTGAGCTGTGTTCGTCAGTGGAAATGAAATGGTAAACCACCAATACACTTCCCAGCTAAGAAATCGAATATGCGGCTTGCATACAGGCGCAACTTTCGGGACGTACCGGGGTGCCCCATTTCACTGGATATCCATCCAACCAGGTGCCTTGCATGTGACCCGTTTTCTGGCGAAAAGGCGTCCTGGTACTTCCCGAGAGTCGCGGCTGCATGCACTCTGAACTCTGAAAAAAATGGCTGGGAAACGCACTGGTGGCCTAAACCACCAGTACCTACGGCGTTTTTAGGCGTTCACACGGAGGCTGAATTGGTGCGCCGCGGGGGTCCATATGTGTTCACGTCAGAGTTGGCCTAAGACCCCCTGGGGTACTGGTGGTTTAACTTTGATTTTGTGTTTAATGAAGATGTTGGTTCCCTGTTCAAAATCGTTCGCTCGCTAACTATGGGCAAACTTTTTGTGTGGCATTGCATATTATTGGCGAAGTTATTTTGCTGTTCTGTGAAGCAGAGGGGGGAATGCTTGCATCGAAAAAGAATGCCGCTTCGTTTGGGATGTGTGTTTCGATCAGCGGGGACGCTAGTGTTCGTGAGTAGCACGAAGGTGTTACTTACTTCATTGTTGAATCGATCACTAAATTAATTATGCACACCTTGTTGAATGAATGAGTAATTAATTATGGGTATCTCTGTGGTATGGTGGATCCTCAGTGAATTTATAGTCTACTTTTTTCGAAGCAGGGAGGTTGTGTTTGGAGAGGACGAAAAAAATGCCGCTTCGTCTGGAGATCAAGAGGGAACTTGCACAGCGTTCTGATCGTGTGAAGAGTGTCGATCTTCATCCGACGGAACCATGGATTCTGGCCAGTCTGTACAGTGGCAATGTGTATATGTGGAACCACCAGACGCAGACTCTAGTCAAGTCCTTTGAGGTGACGGACCTTCCCGTGCGATCCGCCAAATTCATTGCTCGAAAAGAGTGGGTCGTCGCCGGCGCAGATGACATGTTTATCCGAGTGTACAATTACAACACGTCGGACAAGGTGAAAAACTTTGAGGCGCATACCGACTACATACGATGTGTGGCGGTGCATCCGACCCTTCCCTATGTGCTGTCGTCGTCTGACGACATGCTGATCAAGATCTGGGATTGGGACAAGGGGTGGGTGTGCACGCAGATCTTCGAGGGGCATGCCCACTATGTGATGCATGTGGCATTCAACCCAAAGGACACGAACACCTTCGCGTCGGCGTCTTTGGACAGGACTATCAAGGTGTGGAGTTTAGGAAGCGCGAATCCTAACTTCACGCTCGAGGGGCACGAGAAGGGTGTGAACTGCGTGGACTATTTCGGTGGCGGTGACCGACCCCATTTGATATCGGGTGCGGATGACAAGCTTGTGAAGGTGTGGGATTACCAGACGAAGAGCTGTGTGCAGACACTGGAGGGGCACGCACACAATGTCTCTGCGGTCTGCTTCCATCCGGAGCTGCCTGTCATCATTACCGGTTCGGAGGACGGCACCCTACGGGTGTGGCACGCATCCACGTACAGACTGGAGAACACGCTGAATTATGGGCTCGAGCGCGTGTGGACAATCGGTGCCCTCAAGGGGTCCAACGTGGTTGCAATTGGTTATGACGAGGGTACGGTGATGATAAAGATTGGGCGAGAGGAGCCAGTGGTGAGCATGGATGGGAATGGTAAAATTGTGTGGGCAAAGCACAATGAAATCCAGACTGTTAATGTCAAGACCGTGGGTGCAGATGTGGAGATGAACAACGGTGAAAGATTGCCTCTTGCGGTGAAAGACCTGGGCAGTTGCGATCTTTACCCGCAGAGTCTGAAACACAACCCGAATGGACGTTTCGTGGTTGTCTGTGGGGATGGCGAATATATCATTTACACGGCGCTCGCCTGGAGGAACCGCTCCTTTGGCTCTGCTCTCGATTTTGTCTGGTCGATTGACGGAGAGTATGCCGTCCGCGAGAGCACGTCGAAGATCAAGATCTTCAACAAGTCGTTTCAGGAGCGAAAGAGCATCCGGCCCATGTTTCTGGCGGAGGGCATCTTCGGCGGTGCTTTGCTCGCCGTACGGTCGAATGAATTTGTCTGCTTCTATGACTGGGCCGAGTGCCGAGTGGTTCGGCGTATTGATGTCGCTGTGAAGAACATTCTGTGGTCCGATAGCGAGGAGCTGCTGGCGATCGTCTGCGAGGACAGCTTCTTCATCTTGAAGTTCCATCGTGATGCGGTCGCCGCGCATCTCGATTCCGGAAGGCTGGTTGACGACGAGGGAATAGAGGATGCGTTCGAGCTACTACACGAGGTGCCGGAAAAAGTTGTAACTGGCCTTTGGGTCGGCGACTGCTTCATTTATAACAATGCGCAGCTGCGTCTCAATTACTGTGTTGGGGGAGAAGTGACAACCATGTTCCACTTGGATCGGCCGATGTACCTCCTCGGGTATCTTGCAAATCAAAGCAGAGTGTATCTCATCGACAAAGAGTTCAGCGTCGTGAGCTACACGCTGTTGCTCAGCCTGATCCAGTACAAGACGCTTGTTCTCCGTGGCGACATGGAGGCTGCGGCGGCGATCCTGCCGACCATACCCAAGTCCGATTGGAACACTGTGGCGAGGTTTCTGGAGGCGCGGGAGCTGCTTGAGGACGCCCTTCGGATCGTGACGGACCTGGACTACAAGTTCGACTTGGCGTTGCAGCTCGGCAATCTGGATTGCGCACGTGAGGTTGCCGAGGAGATGGGAACGGAAGTGAAATGGAGACAGCTGGGAGAACTCGCAATGTCTGCGGGAAAGTTTGAGCTTGCACAGGAATGCCTCTGCAACGCTGTCGATTTAAGTGGGCTGCTGTTGCTGTCGACGGCTATGGGTAATGTCAAGCGCATGGAGGACCTCGGGCGGATGGCGAAGGAGCAGGGAAAGAGCAACGTCGCCTTTCTGTGCTTGTTCCTGTCAGGGAAAGTTGATGAGTGTGTAAGGCTTTTGTGTGCAAGCGGTCGCATTCCGGAGGCTGCACTGATGGCGCGAACGTATGCTCCAAGTATGGTCTCCGAGGTTGTCGATCTCTGGCATAAAGACCTGAGGAGAGTGAATCAGAAAGCAGCAGAGTCGCTTGCCGACCCCTCGGAGTACCCAAACCTCTTTCCCAATTTTGAATGGGCCTTGAAAGCGGAGGAGCAGTTCAAGTTGTCGCGTGCACATTTGGCGCCGGCGTCTGCGTATTCGGAGATGGCAGACATTACTCTGCGGGATCCTATTGCGGAGATAAGGGCAGCGCTTGAAGAGGGAATGCTGCCGGTGACGGAAAATGGCCATGAGGGACAGGAAGATCAGGATGGTCCATACATGAGTCCGGAAGAAGACCTTGGAGAGGATGACTACGAAGAAGTGGAGAAAAATGTAGAGAGCGTGGATATCAGCGCTCCTTTAGAAGCCCGACCATAATTCTGCAGAAGATGAATGTGGCGTTGCAGCCGTTATCGTTTCTCACCAGCATTGTTCATCTGCTCTGTTGTTCGCCGTATGACGTTGCTTGCATTGGGTGTCTGTCACCGGTGGTTTCAATTTGCTGAACTCAGTGGGGTTCATTGGCTGCCAGTTTGTTTTGTATATACTTTGCAATGGTCCTGTAGGTCCATGGCACCTATGGTTGACCTTTCCTTCTGCGGTGCACCAAACCTAAAGCTTCAGAGGTTCAATCTCTGAAGAAATTGAGTTGCTATCAGTAGCCAAGGACAGGGTTGAGGAAACCCATTCATTAGCGCAGAGCTGATGATTAACTGCTGTAGATCTATCCGAGAGCAATCCGGAGCTGTTCTGGGCCATGTTAGCATCAGACAGTGATAAGTTTCTCCCCCCCCATACCCCACTTTGTGTGAAGGATTTTATTCCACTTAACCGTGCATCCTCCCCCCCCCCTCCCCAACCCGCAACCCCTTTGTGAAGGATGTAGGCATGTATGTAAGCCTAATCATTCGATCCCTCCGCCTCTTCCCCCCCTTTCCCCCCCACCCCCCCCAAGGCATGTAGTGGGCCTGCGCATTTTCGATTCCCAAAAGAAGAAAAGAAGAAAACCAAAAACAAATGATAGTGATTTACGCGTTCCTTGCGCCTTTGTGACGTGATAGCAATAAGCTTGTGCTTTAGCGCACATTGTGTGACACGTTGTGTGACAGTCAGTAGTAGTAACTACTGTTGGCCCTTTCTTTCTTTTTCTTTTTCTTTTTTTTTTTCCGGAGGGCGCAGGAGGGAAACACCGTTGGCACTTCATCCTTGTTTGGAAGGTTATCTCGGCGTTGAGTTTGAGATCGGCTTCTTCAGCCTTCTTGTCTTTGGGCGCAAAGTTCCTTTTTTTTTTCCCCCCCACTTGAGGACGCGATACGAGCGCGCTTTCCTACAGTGACCCTCCACGTTAAGGCTCCATCTATATTGGTCCATTGGAGGGGAGCTGTTCGTAATAGCACTTGAAAGTCTGGTTCATGACGAAGGCTCCATGGAGAAAGGAAGAAGTTGCACACATTGTGACGGACGGTCGGCAGCGACTTAACACCACCAGTCTCAGGTGGGATCCTCCACAGAGTGTGATCGTTTACGTGGAGGCCCCACTTTCAATGCAGCGGCCTGCAAGCAGCCGGTTCGATAGGTGCGGGAGTGGAAAATTTGATTCGGGAGAAAAACGGGGGGTGGGTTAAGTGTATTTTCTGTTGGGACACTTTTCTGTCACATGTTTACTCAGCAGTCTCAACGAGGTTTCTTCTGGATGGGGCCTTTTGTGGCACACGTTTTCTCGGCGGTCGAGACAAGGTCTCATTACCAACGGGCCCAGGTCAGCTGGCACACCCATGAACTGTTGAAGTACAGACCTGAGTTTGAATCCCAACGGATTCAGATGAGGAAAATAAGTGTCTGAATTTACCCTGGGGCTGCCTGGTCATTTTGAAGCTGACATCTCAAGGTCCTCTCTCTCTCTCTCTCTCTCTCTCTCTCTCTCTCTCTCTCTCTCTCTCTCTCTCTTTAAGGTTTCATTGGGATGTGGATATGGTCATAAGGGGAGATAACAGGAGTCTTGTGCAGGTCTCTCTCTCTCTCTCTCTTCTTTTTTAAGGTTTCATTGGGATGTGGAAATCCATTGGATATGGTTATAAGGGCAGAGGACAGGAGCCTTGTGCAGGTCCTCAATAAGTATCTTGAACTATCTTCATCGATGCCGATCTTCGCCGAACATTTGGGGGTTGATCTTCTGGATGAAAGGTGCCTCCGTGACAAGAGGCAGCTAATGAAACAGAATTGGCGTTTACGATTCTGGGCTACTCCAGGAATTTCTGGCTTGGGCCTCTTTGACATCTAGAAACCAAGAAGAAGAAAGATAGGCAATGGTGGTCAGGATCGATATCGATTTCTGGTTGCGCTGCCTGATGTGCGGAATCATTCATAATAAGGTCTTTGGGTTGCGAGCTTGCAATCCCGTCTTTGTATCGAAGTTGGACTCTTTAACTCTTTGTCCTTCCATGAACTGTGAGTTGCATGTGACTGCGCTTTCATTACGGCTTTGTCCTTTCATCAATGTGGGCTAGATGGATTTATGCGTTTTTGCGCCACCATCTCTCTCTCTCTCTCTCTCTCTCTCTCTCTCTCTCTCTCTCTCTCTCT